CAGGCTCAGAAGCTTGTCTTTTTACTGAGATCACACTAGTTAAGTTTCAAACCCAACCAGAACTGTCAGGATCTTCTCAATTTCCCACTGACATGAAGCTCTAGTGGTTGATTTACCAGTGGTCACTGGCCTGTCAGTTGGAATAGCAGAAGCCAAAACAATATGCTTCAAAATTCCAGGCTGATTCCAGAATTTTGGAGACTGTCAATTGCCTCCCTCCCTCTCTCTCCTCATCCTAGTCCAGCATATTCTGGATTTGTGGAACTGCAGGTGATCTGCATTGCTTGTCCCTGGCCCACCTGTATTTGTGCATTCCACTCTTAAGCCTAGGCTTAGAGTTTCCTAGCTTTCTCCTAGGTTGGTCAGGTGGCCAGATTTTATGGGAAGGGACAATTAGTATCATAGTCTTTGTGTCCCCACCATTGGCGTTTAGCCATTTCACCCACCCCCATGTGTCCAGATACATTCTGCTGATATAATTTCTCCACTTCCTGATGGGTGTCTGTGAGTTTTTAAGCCATATAAGTGGTCATCAGGCTAAAGGCTCCTTTTATACTATTTGACTTTACATCTTTTAAAATGAGTTTTTTAGCTAGCTCAAGAGTATATTCCCACCCCCCTCCCAGATGAACAATGACGTACCCTGCATATCAGAGGGCAAAGCTGAATACTAAAGGCAGGAGCCCTTAATTATGTGCAAAATATTTTCAGTCTAATCTATCAGCATGTACACAAATGTCCAATCGATGTTGCCCTTTGGAAACCTCACAGCATAATATTTCAGAAAACCTTTTCGGCATTCAGCAGAATCTCACTGAAACGAGAGAGAAAAGTCTGCTGATCTTACAAAAGAATTTTGGTTCTTTGAATTATATTTAAGAAGAATGGAAGAAAAAAATCTGAGGCGTGATATATAACTGATGGAAGATATGTGGACTGATAGAAGAATGTAGATTAATGTAGAGCTTGGAATTAGGAAACCCTGGTGGCGTAGTGATTAAGAGTTCGGCTGCTAATCAAAAGGTAGGCAGTTCGAATCCACCAGGCGCTGCTTGGAAACCCCATGGGGCAGTTCTGCTCTGTCCTATAGGTTCACTATGAGTTGGAATCGACTCGATGGCAACAAGTTTGGTTTTTTTTTTTAGAATGTAGATTAAAGTAGAGTGTAGCATATAGAGGTTAACCAATTGAGATTTTAAATAAATGAAAATGTACTGGAATAGGAAGTGGAGAATGTGGTAAATAAAGCTGGCGGTGAGGGAAGGATACCAATTTCGATAACGAAGGGAGAGACAAAATAGATTTTCTTTTCTGCTTTCTCCAACATAAGTGCTGGGTACTTGTTTTTGTTTTCCTCTTGTCATGCTTTGCACCTAGCTTTTCAGAGTTGGATTATAATAAACTGTCAAGGCTTTTGTTTCTGTTGGTTCATGAATTTTTATTCTCACAAATTGTGGTATCCATTTTGGTATCTCGCAGGATTCTTTCCACATCGCATTTCCTTTCATCATTTTTTACACTAGTTGTCTTTGGTTTTCCTACTGTAACTAGTTTTCTAATTTTCAGACTCTTCTCTCTGATTCTGAGCACTAGAATCAGCAACTAGAGTCTGTATCCAGTATCTATAGCTCCTTGGTGAGAAACAATTAAAATAATATAATAATTTGTTGATTCACTCATTCATTCAACCAACATTTGTTGAGCACCTACTATATACTAAGTATTGGTGGAGGGGGAGGAGCATCGGTAAAAACCAAGTTCCTGTCCTTGCAAGAAAGGGGCAGGGAGAGGGTTGACAAGGGCCCTGGGTGGCTCGAGGGGATTCTGTGAGCTTTGTGGCTTCTGTCCAAGAGTGATCTCATTACCCTGTAGGTAACCAGTAACCAGTTGCCATCAAGTTGATGCTGACTTACTACGACTCCTCGTGTGTCAGAGTAGTACTGTGTTCCATAGGGTGTCAGTGGCTGATTTTTTGGAAGTAGATTGCCAGGCCTTTCATCCAAGACACCTCTGGGTGGATTCCAGCCTCCAACCTTTCAGTTAGCAGCCGAGTCCATTAACCATTTTCATCACCCAGGGACTCCTACCCTGTAGATAGGATTTCCCGTATCTGGCAAAGAAGCACTTTGCTGTCCCTCAGACACGGGGACAGATTACCCAGTAAACAAGGTAAACACGGGCTTTCTTGTGCTTATTTAACTAATCTGTAGTACACAATTTCACCTGTTTGTAAACCTGTGGGTACCTTGCTTACTGGTTAATCTGCCCCTGAGAGTCACACACCACTTTTTTGCTTTCTCCTTTATATTGCCAGCATTGCACTTCCATTATCAGGGAACATCCCCCCCACATAGTCTGTGCTCCCTCTTTCCTTCCTCTTCAAAACAAGGTTTAAAACTTCCCCTCTGAAGCTTTCTTGATTGACCCCACCTGGTTCCATGGCTTGAGTTCAGAACATGTGACATTTTCTGTCTTCATTCTCCTATGTAAAAAGCACTCATAGAGATAGTTATAGCCTAATGTATACAAAAGGAGCCCTGGTGGTGAAGTGGCTAAGTGTTCAGCTGCTAACTGAAAGGTTGGCAGTTCAAACCCACTAGCCACTCTGCGGGAGAAAGATGTGGCAGTCTGCTTCTGTAAAGATTACGGACTTGGAAACCCTATGGGAGGCAGTTGTACTCTGTCCTACAGGTTTGCTATGAGTTGGAATTGACTCGACAGCAACAGGGTTTTATGTATGCAGGTCTGAATTAAAAACAAGATGAATTTAGAGGATAAATGTATATCTTTTAGGGGGAAACTATCTGATAAATTTTTAGGCGCTTACTGATAATAATGATTTTGTCATGTGGTTTGCAACTGTAAGGATAAATAAATGATTAAGTTAAAACACTCAATTCTTTAACATTGTAGATTAACTGAGGTGGTGTTCAGGTTCTGTAACAAAGTTTTTGCATTAAAAATGCCTGCAAATTTGCCTGAGTTATAGAGGCTCTCTGGTGTATTTAAGTATTTATTGATGTCAGGAGATAAGGGGATGTACAGATTATTAAAAAGAAATTAAGGAAAATTATTTTGAAAAATTAAAAATTTTAAGTGAAAAATTCAGGTCATATTCTTGTAAGTTATTAGCAAGATTAATTATAAATCTCCTTGCCTTTCAGGAACATGTCTTTTGTGCAAAATGAGGTCGGTCTGTACGTGACATTTGTTTAATAAGCTCCTGTGAGTCATAAAGCACATTGATCACATAGATTCTTTTCTCTCATCTTCCTTCCCGCCTGCCTTTTTTTATTTAGTAAATATTTATTGAACACTGATTATAGCAACGAATAGATGCTGGGGAATATGAGGATAAATAGTGTTCATGCCCTCAAGGAGGTCACATCTAGCAAGGAAGAAAGTCACGGAAACAATAATGAAAGAGTGTGCGGTGTGTTCAGGGCGAGGGACAGAGAATATGTGTGGGCCACCAGGGAAGGCTTCGTAGGACACATGATGTTTAAGCTAAACCATGGTGACCAACTCTACCAACAGTCATATCAACCTAAAAACCATCTGTAGGCAGATAAACCCCAAAAGATCTGTCCTTTATGGCTATTAAATAAAGACCTTTTGTCTACTTAGTCCTCATGGTACTTGAACCATTTTGTGGCTAAGAAGACTAGAGTAAAATGTGTTGTGAATATTTTGTTAGTTGCCATCGAGTCACCTCCAGCTTATGGTGAGCTTATATAACAAACCTAAATGTTGCCAGATCTGGCACCATCTTCATGATCTTTGATATGTTTGAACCCCTTGTTGCCAGTAGTTATTGTTATGTCAGTCCATCTCATTGAGGGTTTCTCTCATATTCGCTGACCCTTTACTTTACCAAACATGATGTGTTTTTCTAGCGATTGATCTTTCCTGATGACGTGTCCAAAGTAAGCTAGCAGAAGTCTCACCGTCCTCACTTCTAAGGAGCCTTCCGATTTTATGAATATTATGAATATGCTGGGTGGTATATGCTTAGGAAAAGAAAAAGAATAGTTGAGGACTGGGTAAAGCTAGATTATTCAAATAAGAATCCAACTGTTATAGCCAGAAGGAGCCAGGATCCAGCTACTCTAGCTTCTTCTTGTTACAGAGAAGGGAGCTGAGGCCAGAGGGGTAGGTGGTTACCCAGAACTGGCCAGCGGCAGAGCTGGGCTAGATTCCAGATCTCTTGGATTCTGGTGGTTTCTCATTCCACAGCATGGACTGCCTCAGGCAGTACAGGGAGATTAGATTAGGGCACTTAAGGAGCCTTTATCAAAAGAATGAGAAAAGCAGTGGGCTTTATAGTCTGGTATTTATGGGGTTAAATATGACCTTGTGACCTTGGGAGAGATATTTAACTTCTCTAAACTCTGTTTTCTCTTCTTTAAAATGGAGATTTATTTTATTAAATGGAGATTAAAATTCATATCTAATGGAATTTTTCTGCAGACTATATGAGGTAATGTATGTAAAACACCTGCGATATTACTGGGCTCAGGATAACTGCTTGGAGTTAATTAAAAATGAGGGACGTCCTCATTCTCATTCCTATGGGATCTTTGCTACATAGCAACTATGTAATAATCCCAGTGGAGGGATGAGATAGAGAAGATTTGATAAAAACCTAGTCAAAGAAGTTTATCATTTATTTAAGTTTTGTTTTGTTTTTTTAACAGATAGTATGGAATTTCTTCTAATTGTAGTTCTTTGCATGTGAGTTATTTCATTGCCTCATGTATATTTTAGCCTACTGATAGTTTAAAATTATTAGCCTTCCTGTTTTTCTTTTTAATTTATTTGCATCAGTTTAGCATGTAGTATTTTTCAAAAGTTCTTAGTTTCCTGTATGTATATAAAATTTTTAATATGGCATGGTTGATTTCTCCACCAGTTAAAGTAGTAGAGATGGTATTATTTTGTAAAGAGTCACAGTTCTTTCTAGGAATAACCCTGCAGTCCAAATATTTCTTCTGTTGCAGGTTATATCATATTCAATACTTTGAGTTGTTTTTGTAACCCTTAAAATTTCTAATTAGAAGTATTTCTCTAAAATGAGATACTGTGGTGTGAAATTTTGTTGCCACACATTCAAAGTAAGTCAAAACCTTGAAAGTCTAATCCTGAAAATATCGACAAAAGAAGTTTTTAGAAAACATTCTCCCCCTGGGGTAAGAGTATTTTTACATTTTATTCATAGATGATTTTTTAGAAAAAATTACGCATTTCTTTTCCTGTCTATACTTCTGGCGCCATGTATTTCTGTAGTAGTGACATCAGTAGGGTTTGTAGCCCCCCCAAAAATAGGTAGATCCCATTTCTAAGTCCAGCTGAAAATGATTTCTCAATAGCGCCAGCTTACATCCATCACGAACATACACATACACACCCCAAACATATTATATCTGAAATTTAGCATGATTGCACCTGTTAAAGCTGATATTGTTAATAACAGTATTCTCATCTGTTCTCTCTTATTCCATGCCTGGACATGATGGGCTTTTAAGCTTTTCAGGTGGGCAGACCAACTATACTTCCTGCCTTTCAAAGAGTCACATGTGATAGAGAACACATTTCCAAAATTCAAGCCATATATCAGATCCTTGTTTTCTTTGGTCAGGCATATTCTTTTAGAATACATTTATATTAAGAATAAAGACACTTATGTTACCATCTAAATTAGTTTTTTTCTTGTCAAAACAGTCTTTCTTTTAATGAAACGGTTCTTTGTCTTTTGAGGGGAAGCAATGAGAGATTAAAGGCATTCTTTTGGAGATCTTTCAGGTGAAGAGAAGAATCTGGAATTGCTCTTGGATGAATTATTATAGACCTACAAAAGTCAAAAGTAAATTTTAAGAAGTTTTTTAAAAAGGCAAATATTAGTCCCTTGAAACATGGAGATGTTGACAGATGACTGGTATTTTGTACCTAAAAATCGTTCGCTGTGCTAAGTTATCTGGGATTCATATTCACTTTTTCTAGAGGTGAGTGTATCTTATTACAGACGGCAGGAAGCATTGTATCGCCAACAGAGTTGTCTTCACCAGTAGGCACTGATGGGATTGATGCTTATGAAAGTGTTGTATACCATCTCTTTGGAGGCATGAGTTGTGGGAAGTAACGAACAGATGTTTGATGTGTCAATCAGAGTATTAGGTGCTGGGACAGATACAAAGCAAACTAAAACATGGCTCTGGACCCAAAGTACACATTAAAAGGTCAACACTTCTTGGCATGGTTGGGAACCAGAGGCTGCTTAAACAAGCTCAGCAAATTTAAACCTAATTGAAAAGTCATTTAGGACTTTTTTTTTTTTTAATTGATTTTGCAAGCTACAGAACATAACTCAATCTGGCTTAATCAAAAAGAGAAATTATTGACTCATGTATCCAAAAATCTAGATGTAATTTGGTCTAAAAGCTCAAATGGTTTACCATTAGCTGTTGTTTTTTTTTTTTCCTTTTTCTCTCAACTCAACTTTCTTTGTGTTCACATTATCTTTACTCTTGTGGTGGCAAGATGGCCTCAACAGCTACAGCTTTACATTTTCCATCTTTGAGTCCAGCAGGAAAATGTCTCTTCCTCTAACAGTATGAATAAAAGTCTTGGGCCTGATTGTCACTGGCCCATAGTGGGTCCTGTGTTTGTCCCTGGAGCAATTGCCACGTCCAGGGGAATGGAAAGTGCTTATTGCTTGGGGACTGTTTATATGTTCCACTTCTGGGACAGGGCTAGGAATCAGAGAGGGGCTTTCCCCAGGTGAGAATACTGGGCACTATCACCAGATGTAGCTGAATAGAGGCTGAGCAGCAAGAACAGCAGGTGTATGTCGCAGGTAAATAGGACTAATACCAGAGGGTATTATTACTTGACATTAAACAGTTAAGAAGTAGTTATATGATTATGTCATTAAATGTACTTTAGGAATTGAGAGAAGGACATAAGTGAGGGCTGGAGTGATTTGGGCATTGAAACTTCATTGAGCACAGATGGATATGAACTTGGCCTTTAAGGATGGGTAGGATTCTTAGTTGGATTCTCCCAAGATACCAGTGAGGAATGCCTAGTTTTGTCAGAATTGATGATGTCCACTCCAGCCCTTTGTGACTATCTGGTGGAATGATGCAACGGTATATAATAGAGGTGACCCTTAAGGCTGACACAAGGAACACAGAACTTGAACAAATTGTAGATGTGACAAAAAGCTTGGGAGTCATTCAGCAATAGTAAAAAATAAATAAATTATGGTACAGATACATGTTAGACTCTTTCTAGCCTGTTAGCCATATCTTCATTTCAATAAATAGTTCATGAGCACCTATCAAAATTATTTTGAAGAATTTTTAAATGAGAAAAACTAGTATACAGAATTGTTTACAGCATGATTTCAGCCATCTGAACAAAAAAGCTCAGAAGGCTGCAGACTTTCTGGAGCCATGGAGGCTGAATGAAACCCTGAAACTATTGCCCTAATATAGTCTTTATACCTTAAACCAAAAATATCCCCTGAAGTGTTCTTAAAACCAAACAGTAGTCTAGCTTAACTAGTAAAAAATGCCTGCCTTGAGCATTATGCGCTTTTAAGAACTATCTATATGGGATCAAAGTGACAACAGCAACTGGAAAGATTAGATAGGAACCGTAGGGAATAGTGAGTTTATGTTAAAGGGGGAGAAACAACTCAGAAAAGGAAGGTGAGAATGGATGCACAGCTCTAAGATTATAATCAGTATAACTGAATTGTGCATATAGAAACGGTTGAATTGGTATACGTTTTACTGTGTATATTCTCGAAAACAACAAATTAAAAAGAAAAAGACAAAACGAACAATGAGGGGGAAGAAAGGCCTAGAAGGAAATACATCAAAATGATATGTGGTTACCTCTGTTCTTCATAAAAACCTGTTGCTGTTGAGTCGACTCCAACCCATAGCGACCCTACAGGACAGAGTAGAACTGCTCCATAGAGTTTCCAAGGAGTGCCTGGTAGATTTCCTGTTCTTTATACTTACCTATATTTCAAAACAAATTTAAAAGATACAGCTGTGAACTGGCTAAACCAAGAGACAGCCTTTGAAACATGGAACACAAATCTTATGCAAAAGCATCAAATTCTGCAAAGGCAGAACCATAAACTACCACAAGTTCTGGAAGTCATGGCAGCAGGCACAAAATATAGGGCCTTTAGCTCATACAAAGGGACCAGCTGAGGAGATATATCATCCATGTCTGCGTTCACTGAGAACAGTGATGGTGGCAGTTTACACAATGCCTATTATTTTTGATTAAGAACTCCATCTTCTCTGCTTAAAAATCTAAGGAAGTCTGTTATGTCAAATCATTGGTGGTACTCCCAGACTTCCATCAACTTATCTTTAGATCCAGGTCTTGTTTTTCACAACCTGCCTTTCCAGCATCACCATCTCATTTTCCTCCCTCACTGTTTCCTTAGTCCACTCATTTCTGTCCCCTGTATTTTCCTTGGTTGAAGCTCCAGGACTGCTTTTGCTATGGCATTGCTCTTTGGCTTTCTTTAATTTGAAATTTCAGAGGCATAGTCTTTTCATAGTTTTCAAAGCACTCTCACATATCTCAATTGATATGTTGTGATAGAGCTGGATGATGTATAATCTCTATTTAAAAGTATGAGGAGAGGGCTCAGAGTTTTTAACTTGCTCATAGTTACACAATCCAGATCTGGTGACTCCAGATCCATGGCTTTCTGTTGTCCCATGCTGCCTCAGACACTTAGGAGTGCTCCACTATGGCAGCAGTGATGAGCCAGGCAGTAGGACTTTGTTGATAATTGTTGATCCTTTGTTGATAATTATCCAATGATCACCCTTGTATCTCTTTAAAATTTACCTTTACTTTGAAATGTTTGCTTCTCAGAGACAGTTCAGCTAGTACTGTTCAGTCTAGTTAACCACCTTCCCTCCTGACACCTTTTGTTAGTTCTGAAATCTTAACTTAGGTCTATTTGTTAATATGATTCTCTATAATTGTTTTATACTTTGTAATTTGAACCACTCTTCTACTACACGTATCTATCTTTGTAATTTTTTTTCTCCTCACATGGTAAAGTCTTGGAAAGTGAGAGCTGTGTTTTCTATTTCCTTAATAGTTGAGTTTTCTCCTAGGGAGAAGTTCAACAAGTACTGACCAACCGAACTTGAGGAACTAAAATAAATCATCCTTCAGGAACGTTTTTATAGCATTTCTGCAAATAATTATGAGATTAAACTTTCCTGAAAATTTTGCTGAAACATCTGTTTTTCAGAATTAACTTAGAAATATTAATGGCCTTGGGCATATCTGTACCCAGCAGAAAGTCATTAGCTATTCCAGAATGCCTAGCTGGAGGGTTTCCTTTCTTCCATGTTAGTAAATCTTGGCCCCGTAGCAGGCAGGGACACTGCACCACTCACGAGAAAACCCACTATTACAAAACGTATAGACACTTCAGAGGCTACAGCTGTTTCGTCTTGGCATCAGTACTCATCTACAGATTGTCACATATTCAGAATACAAACTTTTCCTGAAATCTTCACTAACTTTTGGAGCGTAGGATTGATAGAGCAATTACGGAAATCTCAGAAGCAGCATCTCACAGTATAATTCTTTAAGCAGACTGAAGAGGTGGCTACTGCTACAGGCTGATTTAACCCCAGCGATTCTTTAACAGGAACCCCCTAGGTTATAAGCTACTTAAGGGCAGGAACTGCCTTCCACTTTCTGTTTGTCTCACACCCAGCGCTCAGTGTGTATTTGCTGAATTGAGTCATGAAGAGAAAGGTTAAGATGGGTGAACAGTGAGCCTGTTGTTGCTAATAGTTCACTTCTCTAGTGAAACTGGCCTGTGTCGAGAAGACAAAAGGATTTAGAATTTTTAGAGTAAATTTTTTTTCACCTCTGTGGCTCAGGGTCCTAGGGGATCCCTCAGCTGCACTAGGTAGGAGGGGGTCGGGAGGGAGGCAGGGGAAGGAAGTGCGTTGCTGCTCATTCCGGACATATTCTGCATCTCTTTGTTTCCTCTGTCTCCCCTGTCCTCCATAGCTAAGGCAAGAGGGGAGGACTTTCCTCCTTTTCCATACATTTTTCCTTATCTGTTTTTAAAACTGTATTTTCCTTCTGAAAGTTGTCCTGGGAGTGGCCCTGAACTTAATTTACAGTATGATTCATATCCCCTGGGGATGGCCCTTTCTTTTTAAAGAGTATTGATAAGTAGAACAAAGAACAGCATTTCCAGTGAGGAATTACATTTATTTCGTTCATTGAATAAATATCGTTTTCCATTTCCCCATGTTGTACACGTTAAGTACACCAGAGTTATGAGACCGAGAACTTATCACACAGTGGTAGACTTTTTCAGCTTTTAGTTTTAATACACATTTGACTATTTTAAAAGCAAATGTTACCTTCAACCCAGAAAATGATAGCTTTGTTGGTTTTTATCCTAGGTATATCAATTTTCTGATTTTAATAATTCCTTACATAAAATGTAATCACAGTGTTGATCACTATGAAAAGATGGCTTTGCAAAGGAAGTTCCTCCACAAAATATCACAACGCAGTTGTCAGTAAGACAGTTGCTAAAGTAGATATTTTAAAATTGTCTTATGTGGACTTCCAGGCAACACGGCACTATAGTCAGAAGCACCACACGTCCCTCGACAGCAAAAATGCAAAAAACTAAGTCAGACAGAGTGACACATCAGTCCTGAAACCCTAAGCATCAAATGAAGAGATAAGGAACTCAGCCAAGCACTGAATGGGATAGAAACTGACCAAGAACAGAGAGCAAGGAGAGATACATGCAGAGGTCCCCTATCAGCTACCGCAGCATGGATCCACCATCTTGGACTCCTATCGGAGATCAGCAAACAGGGGTTATGAGAAAGCAGCTTCAAAGAGCTTCCAGCAGGAGACAGAACAACCGATAACCAACAATATACACTCTCCCAGCCCCCCCACCTGCTTCTTCACACACACTCGGCCTCCTCTGCTTCCTGTGTCCACAGTCTCTTGGCTGGGAAGCACCGGCTTCACCCCGGTATCGCTTGGATTACACCTGCCCGTACTGGCCGGCTCCCTGAGTGCCATTTGTTGGCTGTTGGCGTTGCTTTGTTCCACTTCATTAGATTTCTTCTTACCTCTCACCACCTGCCCCTCCTTTCTCTCAAATATCTGGCTCTGTGGCCATCTTTGCTTCTTCCTGGGGGGCTATGAGACGCCACTCAACTGTGGAACTGCTTCCCGGCCTGTGCTGCCGTGCTGGTGGGACCCCCAGGGCTTTGTTGTTTGTTTGTTTGCTTGTTCTAATTTGTTCTGTTTTGATATGTTTGTTTGTTTTCTTTTTCTTTTCTTGGCTTGGGAGCCAATTCTGGCTGGGCAGTGCTGCATGGCTTAGGAGATACTCCCTTCCTCTGCGCAGACGCATGGTGACATCTCTGGGGGCATTTCTTTTTTCTTTTTTCTTTTTTTGTTTCTTTGTTTTGTTTTCTTCTCTCTCTTTTTCCCTTTTTGTCTTTCTTCACTTCCAGTTTCTCAATTTATTTACTTTCTTTTACCCTTTTCTTTCTTTTTGTTTTTCTCCATTTCTCAGTCTCTCATCTCTCCACTCCAATGGCAAGCTCTCTTAGCACTCTTTTTTGTTTGTTTCTTTGTTTCTTTGTGTGTGCGTTTTTGGCTCCTGTTCCTCTCCTCTCTCCTATTTCCCATACCCATCTTAGCTCCACAGATCACAGTCTCCTCCCTCCTTCCTGCTTACCTGCACTGTGCGCTGAACATCACACCCCTGAGCAGCACAGGCACGGCCTACCGGAACCTGCCCTGCACTGATTCCCGGCCTGCACTGTCGGTTCTAGTACATGCCACAAACAGTACATCCCAGCAACTCCACTTCAGCTGAACCTGCCCTGCTGGCCATACCTGAGTGACTGACCCTGCCCATTGGAGAAGGAGGTGAAAAGTATGCCCACAGATGAGCAAACAACAAAGAACGCACAGCCTACCTGATCAGACATAACCAAATAAAACAAAAAAGCAGGACAAAACAAACAAATCTACAATCCGTAAACGAGGAAAATAACTACTGAATGCCCCGAAGACAGCAGACAATATCAAAACATATACAAAAACAGGACAGGATGGTTCCAGTAGGTGTCCAAAAGAAAATACCAGATGACTTTCCAGTAGAAGAAAAGGCACTAGAACTACCTGATAGGGAATTCAAATCTCTAGTATTCAGAATTATCCAAGAGTTGAAGCAAAAAGCAGACAAAAATGAAGAAAA